ATATATATATATATATATATATGACTACCGCATATCTAGTAGCCTCTCGAGACTTCAGGAAGGGATGTGAACGTTCGAGAAGCACATGACGTGTTACTAGCGTCACGTGACCTCCACTGTCGTAACAGCAGTTTATAACAAACAGGTAGGGGAAAAAAAATTAAAATTTTAACAGAAAGCAGGGATTGTTGGTTATTCATAGAATTGCTATAAGAAGTATCCAAAATAAAATAAATGCAGGAATAGTTGGACAGATTTTAAAATGATTTTCAATTCCTAATTTGGTTGGCATTGTGATCTGTATAGCTAAATGAAGCAGTCAAAATTTGCCAACTAAAGAAGGAATTGAAAATCGTCTTCAAATCTATCCAACTAGTATCACTTTACTTGTTTGTGTACATTTTATTGCAGCATTTATTTTGTTTTGGATACTTCTTATAGCAATTCTACAAATAACCAATGATTCATACTTTCCTGTTTATTTGTTCAGTTTTTATATGTCCATGGAATGAACACAACATCTATAAATTTCAGTATAGCTATATCCCTGATAGCTATAACTTTTACAAATTTATAAAATGTAATCCTTACTTTGGCCTACAGATATGTGTATAAAGCTGCCAAAGTAGGGAGTAAATTTTATAAATTTATGATTGTAATTTTAATTGTTGTTTCATTACTTTTTGTAGCAGGATCTTTACTTCATTCTAAAATTTATAATTTTTAATACTCTTGTGTACTTTTTATGTTAGACCTGTATAAAGTGTATACTTTACCTTTAGAAACTGTCATGTGTCTGTCCATTGATATGTAGCACCATCTATTGAGTTTAAAAGATATTTATATATGTGCATGATATATTTACTATTTATACAAAATCTATATATAATTATCAGAATATCAAAAGCAGATAGTCACAAACCAGTCAAGAATGCTGCAGACATCTTGTAACAATAGTCCAAGCCGTCTAGAGTCTAGCCCTGCTGATGTGATCAGGTAGTTAGTCAGAAGTAGACAAACTGTTTTTGAATTGTTATACTGGACCTTTTTAGCATACTTTCAGTATATATGCACACAATATATCGTAACCAATACTTTGAATGATTGGTTTTTCGCTTAGGAATTCAATTGGGTTTTCTTTGGCTCGTGAATTACTTGGAATCCTTGTCGATCCCTATTATTAAGTACTACCGTACTTAATAATCAAACTATCAAACCATATATTATGAATACTTTACAATATCTGTTGTTCATATTATGTGTACTTATTATAAGAAAGAAGTTTCTAACCAAGTTTAATTAAAACTCAGATGAAAACAATGTAATATTTTACTTGTAAAATACTGTGTTTACAATTATTATTGAAGGATACAAGCCATTCAAGCAAATATCTTTCTTCTATTGAACAATATAATTTTCTCTGTAGCATTTAGCTCTTTTAAAAAAGTTCATAAAACTAACATAATAATTACTTATCTGTAGTAAGAAGTAAATATTTTTTCTTACCATTTCCAAGTGGTATTCCAAGTGAAGACAACAATTCTTCTGTTTCAGCTCTCAAATCCTTATCTGGTTTTGTTATTCTTGTAACAATTTCTTCGTGCTATTCATGGAAAATAATAAATGATACAAACATTTCTTAAGCATTTTAAATTAATATTTTTATCAGATTTAAGAAATCAAAACCTCTGTTTTCTCCCTAAAAACATTATATTTTGCCACTGAATTCTCTCTCTCTGGCCTGAGCAAAAATTCACAGTTTTTATACAAGTCATTTAGAGAAAACAACAGTTTGTGGTGTTAAATCTATTTCATAAACATACAAATACAATAAAGCCTGTAGTGTATGGACAGTTTAATTGTTGATCAAGAAATATATATACACACTAAAAAATTTGATTATATTAAACTCCTTTATCTCATAAATATTGAAAACGTGTACCATACAAAAATAACATTATTTTACCCTTGAGTATTACCATGTTTTTTTGTTGTTTTTTTCATGTAGGACTAGCATTAAAGTACTCTTTAAATAACAGAGTTAACTATTCAGGTCTTGGGCCTTATCTCTACTGGTACAGTGGTAGAGCAGTAACCATTTATTTGAGCCAAAGGGCCTAGGTAAACAAGTATACTGTGCAACCCTCAGTCATATTTCATGATATCCTGATGTAAATGTACTGGTTTCAAACTAGTAATAGTCTCTTAAAATCAATTAATTAAAACACAATGTTATTTATGCACAATTTAATAACTTTTGTTAAAAGTCAACTTTAATAAGATTGTGAGGCTACAGCATCTCTTAGCATAAAAGACTGGGTCTGCTAAAAAACAAAAAATGCTTAACAAAAAAAGTCCCCGAAAATTAAAAAAAAAAACAAACATGATCTTTCTAATAAACGTTTCAAAGGAATATGAACTTGACACAAGTTGTTGCTGATGAAAACTCAGAAACTAAGCTTCATGAACAGGGCACCTAACTTTGATGGAAATGGGGTGGGATAAAGCACAAAGTTAAACAATCATCCATGTAAAAGTTTAAATCTATCCACGATGAACACAGTAAAAAGCTGAAATGATTTTATTAAGTACCTAACATGCAATGGACACCAAATGGTAGGGCACTCTCAACTGAAGAACCACATCTCTGTGCACAAACAGTAGAAAATAAGAACATCCTAACTGAAGTTATGGATAAAAAGTACCCATTTTTGTTGTTCAATAACAGACGTGGAAGGACAGACTGAGTTTACAAAAACTCTTCTCTATCTTGACGAGAAAAATGACAATATGAGTTCAGAGTTGAAATATCTAAAAAAGAAAGTGAATCTTCTGTGATTAAAAACCCAGAGAAGCACCTCATACTACCTTTATTATCTTCTGGATTAAGAAATATCTTCTAGATGTACAGGGAAAGAAACCCTTAGAAAGAAATGTATGAAAATATAGAGAATCATTGGTAAAGAGAGAGAGAGAAGGATTGGAAACATGAAGACCAGAGAAGAGCACTTGCTAAGCTCAAAGTTCTTCTAAAAATGAGTACATTCTGCTATTCTGTTTAATCTACTCGTACATCTGTAACATGTTTGTTGTCAAAGACCACAATCTACAAGTTCATACATTCAAATTATTGCTTCAATTTTTATTCACTATTGTACATCATATTCATCTCACCTGAAAAATATCATACTGATTAGTATGTTTCTATTATGAGTTGTTAACTTCTTTATTATCACTAACAACTGCAAAACAAAATTTACTTTCCACAAGTATCTTATGACTAATCAGAAAGTACTTTTTTATTAAAAGTGATGCTTTGGAGTAACCATGTATAATCTGTATATTGCTTCAGTTCACACCTACAATGATAGATAAAATCTCAGGTGACTTTACAATACAGTTTGTAACAGCTTTCCTTTGTAAATACTCAGTACATTGAAAAAATACAGGTACCTGTAGTGTAGTGACTCATCGCCTGAATTAGTCACACTCATAGCTGAGTCATAAAAGTGGCAGTGCCAATGGCGGGTGTACTTTTATAATTACTAAAACAAATTCACTTTAGGTTTACTTAAAGATTGGTCAAACCTCTTTTGCTTCTTTTTCTCTTCTTCTTCTTTCCTTTTCTTCTCTTATCATAGCAAGCTTCTGCTTTTTTCGTTCTAATTCTGCTCTTCGATCCATAGCAATTTGCTAGAATTTTAAATTAATCTACTACTTAATTCTACTATATATTTACAATATCAACAAAATTGCCGATCTCCTTATTCTTATTTTGTAAATTACTCACAGATTTCACAATATATATATATATTATACCGTAAGTTTAACATTTAAACATAAAATAATAATTCTTAAAGAGAATCTGACAAAACATATCCATCTTCGGTGTATACAGCATACAACTTTGACGTCATGTGTCAAACATTGGTAATCGGTGTATTGCGCCGCAACACGTTGACGTATGACGCATCTGTTATTCAATTTTTCCTAAATATATTTATGTAATCTAAATTTTATTTATAATATTACATAAATTCAACAGATTTAAGGAGTAGAGAACGTATTACTTTTTTCGAATTTTTTCCACCCTGCGGTTTTCATTTTGTATAAAATATGGACTTGCACTTTTCCTCTCTTTCCGGAATGATGTTTCCTCTAGCGCATTTTTTATCGAAAACTCAATACAGTCAAAAAAACAGAAAATATACTTCCTAGTTATTTCAGTTTTCCACTCTTATTATTACATTAATAAATTTGCAAAATGACTATTTTTATTTACAAGCGATTTAGCAACGTATCTTTATACATTTCAGTCATTATTAGATACTTCAGTATTAAAATTTATATAGAAAAATAGTGTAAACAATTGTCATTTTTTACACTTTATTCAGATAAATTCAGGGTTTTTCTAAATTTTCATAAAGGTGTTCTACATGTAATTAGGTCTTCTTGGTCAATCGAATGTCCAAAAAGATGTAAACATATACTTAGACAAATTTTTCATACTAGCTTGTATTAATTTGATTATATTGTTATGACAGCGGAAGTCAAATAGATTGAAGAGAAATAATTGAGATAATAAGAGTCAAGCGAGCAGTAGGAACCGTAAGTAAAGTATGTGAATCGCTGTGAATTATAGCGGGTGTCTATAAAAGTAGTTAAGTTTAAAGTGACTGTGGAAATTAAGTGTATTACAAAGTTTGTAACGAGAAAAGAACTTTTTACGGGAAATTATCAAACAAGCAGATACGTAACAATATGCTGCTTTTTTTTGGAGACGAGAGGGTAAGGCAACTTAGAAGGGACACACATACTTTTGCAACTCTGTATGAATTTATGGCTTGTCTCTCTTGTGTATGATTGTTTGTAATAATTTATAGCATTGGTAACAGTGGTGTATTTAACGTCGGTGCAATCGGGGCAACGCACCGATGGACCCCTCATATTGCGAATCCCCAAAGTAAGGCAGAAATTTATATACCTATAGCTGATCAGTTAGGACGGGAACCCTAAGAAAATTGCACAGAGTAGTTTGAAATGTTAAAAACGACTCTGACTGATAATCCAAGAATTGAGTTAGACTGAGCTGGGCAGTTTGGCTTAAGACTTTTGGTGTTGTGAATAAAGATTTTATTTGTGAAATTGTTTCGCTTGTCTTTTTTTTTGTTGATTGTGTTCATAAATGTTACTCTGCATAACGCTTTCAGAACTTTTTTTTCTTTTTTGCAGATACTGGTAACTAGCTGACGGATATCAGATTTCGTGATTTTATAACAGTGAATTTGAACAATTTCTAGCAGAGTTAGCTCTGAATCGTTATAACTCAAGCACATTTATTTTTATATTTCATCAGAGAGACATATTGTTTTTAAAAACAAAAAAAAACTTAAAAAGATCCGTACTTTTGATTTTAGTTACTTTTATAATGATAATAAATAAAGAATAAATATGAAAAACAAGAAATATAGTACTAACCCAATCTTCTTTTTTCTTGTCCTCAATTGTCGAGGAGAGTTAAGGCTGATTTTTTAGTGATTATAGTAAAGCACTTGACAATTTTTATTTAATTAAATAA